AAGTTAAACCCCCGAAAATGCGCTTGGTTTGTCACACAAACAGGATTTTTGGGCCATATTATTGACAGACACGGCATTCAAGTAGATCCTTCAAAGATCCAGGCGATTCTCGAGAGATCCATGCCACGAACTGTTACGGAGGTTCGGGCTTTCCTTAATTCATGTAATTACTTTCGTGATTACATTGAGCTTTTCAGCAAATTCGCTGGGCCTCTCTATAGTCTTACGTCCTTGGAAGGCAAAAATATACCTGTTACATTAAGTGACGAGCAAATCGAAGCCTGGAAAGCTCCACGTAATGCTCTCATTACTACCCCTATTTTGAGGCCCATGGACCCCCAGTTACCAGTTGTTCTCGATGTCGATGCATCCGACAAATATAATGGTGATGTTCTCCTCCAATCCGAAGCCCCTTTCTCGCCATTCATCCATTTAAAAAATTTACAGCCATCAATGGATGGAGCACATTTGCATCCTGTAGCTTATACGAGTCGAAAACTTAATCCTACTCAGCATCGATACTCTTCACAGGAATGCGAAGCCTTGGGAATGGTTCAAGCTCTTCAAACTTGGCAAGATTGGATTGAGGGTTGTGAAATTATAATTAGGACTGATCACGAAAGTTTGGCGGGGATTCGAAAAAAGTCCAACTTACCTCGGCGAATGCAACGATTTATAGACGTTCTTGAACATTTCGATCCAACAATTGTTTACAAAAAGGGCAAATCGAACCATCTTGCGGATTGGCTTTCACGACTACCCAACAATGCGACCTCATTCCCAATCGCAAGATACGACCCTGTCCATAACTATTCACTGAATCTGCCATCAAAGACGTTACTAGACGCAGAAAGACTGACCTGGATAGATTTGCACTCGATTGCGGAGTTCTTACAGCATCGAGTGACTCTTCCTGAGAATCTTCCTGAACCTTGGGTTAAACGTAATCTCGCATCTCACAATGGTTCAACATACCGAGTGATTGACAACAAATTTTTAATAATCCACCACTACGGCAAGCTTGTGTCGGCTTTGGTTAAGTTGCATGAGCAAAGTGCACATTTTTCGATAGGAGCTTTAATTAGGGAGTCAAGAAATCATCTCTGGCATCCAGATATTGTTTTAGCCGCGCAGGAAGCGTTTAAGACTTGTTCCAGATGTCAACTGATGACGAAACCGATTGAAATACACAAACAGGATAACTTACGCCCGGTGCAGGCCCCAGTACCTTTCACAAGTTGGGGGATGGATCACACCGGTCCGGTAAACAATAACGGTCAATCTGCTTACCTTTGTACATCTATCGATCACGCGACTTCGTATGCGATGGTACTATTGACGCAATCACCAAACACTGCCTCTTGTTTGGAACTAAGCCGACAAATTCATGCACTGTTTGGAATCAAGCAATTAATAACTGACAATGACCAAGCATTCCTGTGTAAAGAAATGTCTTCATTTTGTAAGGAAAGGTCTATTAAGCAGTCTGTAACCAAACCATATCGCCCACAGACAAACGGCAAAGTAGAACGATTCAACGGCATCATTAAGACTATTTTCTATGCCGTATCTGCTATTAACCCGTCTCGTGGTATCCAGTGGATCCTAGATCAGTCACTCAGCACGTATAATCGGCGTCCCAACTCAACTGGATATTCTCCTATTTTTCTTGCTCCAGGACTCCCGCACGAAGATTCTCCAAGCCCTTACGTGCGAGAATTAGCTCCTGCTGAGGAAACTGCTTTCGCTACCGATCTCGTTAAACTGTATAATCCTAGGGTACAAGATGCGCGCCTAAGCGTCGCAACAGGAAAAGCAGCAAGTGATGAAATTCGTTCACACCTCCAGAAAAAGAAAGCCCGGCTTAGGGTTATTGGGTCATGCGACAAAGGAAAAGAGATCACAAGGGCGAACCATTCTATGACGGTCCCTTTATCATTACGGATGCCTCTCCTCACAACAGTTATGTTCTGCGCACTCCAGGAGGATTTACTCTGCGAAATGAGTATCACGTTCAGCAGCTGTTTCCGGCTTACGTTAATGATGGACATCCTGTAAGATCTCTTTGGTACGGCAGTAGAACTCTGCTTGAGAAGGACAAACGTAGAATTTGGGATGTACTAGCACAATGGAACCAGGTTGACGAGGGGGACTATTCTCAACACCTGTCAGCGGTGTCCCCTACGAACCTTAAGCTCTCACTGTAGAGTCTGCAGAGCCGAGTTTGAGTAACAAAGTCCTCACTTCGAAGAGGATTCCCAATCGCTTTCGCGGTCTGTATCGTCTTCATCTCTCAACACATTCCCCTATCACCATTATCATGAAGCTAACCACGATCAGATCAGATGGTAGGGTCGGATCCCTACTCATCACCAAACCTTGATCATGGAGGAAAATCCATCCGATGAGTTTCCGGAGCGTACCCAGCACCCGATACGGAGATGGTGGATTGGATCAAGTCGGCCTCGACTGTTACAAAGAAGGGAGACATAGATGAATATGCGCACCTCATGTAGTCCCGGTGTCTAGGCCTCGCCTGGCTGGGGCTGCAGGTTTTTTGAGACTTTTTCCCGCGCACGCAGTTTCCATTGCTACCTTTTTATTTTTTTTGGGTAGAAGGTTCCGTGGAAAAGGTGGCTGAATTCCACGGGTAAATACTGAGCTGAATGGCTATTCATCAAGGGGAATATATCTATGATCTTTCAAGTAACAAAAGAGGATAGGAGCACTGTACAAGGTGTGGCCTGGGTCAGAGAGGAGCCCAATGTGCTAGATAGTCATAGACTCAAGTAGCACAATAAACACAAACACACCAGGTTGACGATGACGGAGTCTGAAAAGGGGGATGGTGTGTGTCATGGTCACGTGATATTGTGTAATCTTAATTAGAGTTAGCATCATTAGGAGTTTTAGGTTGGAAGAGGGAACATTCAACTTTCATCTGACTTAACGACTTATCAGGCATTCTGTGATACTAATTACAGGCGTGCTTTGAGTCCCTAGTCTAATGTAAGACACAGACGCATAACTCGGCACATTTCCGAGGCTAGTCTGTAATTGGGTGAGGTATGGCTCCGGGCTCTTAAACGAACGGCTTTTCTATCCTGCGCGGAGTCCTAGGCGATCTATAGTTTCCTCAGGTCCCTATTGAGATCTATTCAACAGTGGGTGCCAAGTTACCATTCGCTGAATTCACGCCACGGCTCTCAATTGCCTTCGCTGAAGGATGATTTCTGCCGGAGGAATGCTCGACTCTCTGTGTAGAGCGACGCTTGGGATAGTTCGCCATGCCGGTAGTGCCGCTCGAACGGCCTTGGTGATGGTTTTATCCAAGAGATCCGTATGCCAGCCGACTCCTATGCCCACCTTCTTATTTCGCTGGGTGGTGAATCGGGTCAGCCCTGGCCACGATGCCTCTGCTCCATGTAGTGCCATACTGAGAACACATGCCTATACTACTCTGATCATTAGCCCCGGGGCCGCACCGCGCTGCACAGAGTTGATTTGACGTGTAAACTGAGTTATGCGTTGTGCTTTCCCACATCATTCTTGGACATGCGGTTTGAAATTGAGCTGAGAGTCTAACAAAACGCCAAGCCATATCACACAAGGAGAAGGGGTTAAACTATGACATTTAATATGTATTGAAAGGCCCGGTGTATCACGCTTCTTTTTGGGTCCTCCACCTATCCCTAGAAGCTCTGACTATGACGGATAATAGTCTACCAAACGGGGAGATTCGTAGTTAGTAGTGCTATTTGTCCAAGTCACGGGACGCTGCGCTGAGAATGTAAGTAGGAATCGCATTATATAATCATGCATTAGTATGCTCGTGACATAAGCAGTCTCCTGTTAGGATGAGAGAGAATAATGGATAACTTACACCAGACTAAACGAGCTCTACAGGCACTCGGTGACTCTAATTACAGGCGTGCTTCGAGTCCCTAGTCCACCGGATGCCACTTCTTAGCCCCTAAGTACGAGCGCACAGTGCGTCGTGGTCCGTTGTAAATGGATGGCAGGGAGGGAAAGTTATATCCATGGGCTGCGAGGGGCGGTGCCCACTGATGGTATCGAACTGCACTGAGAGACTTTGAGAAATGTTTGAAGTGGATTGAATCGTCTGTCCTACTCGGATCTCTCCTCACTAGCTTATATACATGCGAACCATTTATCATCTATCATGTCATTTCCGCTTGGCCTATCAGTCTTCATGGAGTTGAGCTAATTGAGTAAGAAACAGTTTCCCATGGCAATCTCCCGAAAATTACAACCTCAAGAATCTCTAGCATGAAGCGTGCGCATGTGTAAAATAGATGAGCATGATTCGGCAAGCCTAACCAATGCGCGCGCGCGTAAAGGAAAAGGGAATGACATGCTGAAAATTTGCAAACCAACTCTCAATCAATATGAGTAAATTTAGCGCGCGCAATCAGTGATAATCCAAGCGCGCGTAAAAGACTGGTGCTTCGATAGCTGGAGACTTCCACCCGGAGAGGGGAAAAGCGAGATTGAAGCTGGTTTCATTCCACCAAAGGGGTGATTGAGGCGAGTAGTTGATAATGGACCTACATGTACCAACATTATCATAGACTCATGATAAAAAAAAGACTCCCCGACGCGTGAACAACAAGGAGTCTGGGAGTAATGCGCGCATTATTATAAATGATCTAAACACGTGTTTACATGTGGTGGGTGTCCTACAAGTTAGTAGTTCAGTAGAAAACCTTGGTGATCTAGTTAAAATACGAGATTCAGCCATCGACGTTTACAAGCATCGATTAATTTGAACTTGAAATCTTCTACGTGACAGGAAGAACCTAACATCTATTTAGACGTGACACGGGTAGATGGGCTCTGAAAGCTCATTGCTACTTACATGACCGGCAGTGGAGCCAGAAGCGACAAAAGACAAGAATCAAGCATCGATTAAATTTGCTTACAATTTATCTCAAGCATGGTGTATTCCCGACGAGCTTACCGATATAACTCTCGCCTCATCAGCTTGCTTTGCAAAGAGCCTTTCTGAACACCGTCTCTAGCCTTTTTATCGCCTCTTGGTTGATTTGATAATGTATGACCAATCTTGGCCCGGAAACTTTGATACCGTACTCTTCTCCAAGCTGAGTGAAAAGACCTATATCTACCCCAGCGCGTTCCAAATCTAACCATACCATGTTTGTCTCTGTGTCCTTCAATAAACTCCCACCCAGCTTTGTCCAACTTTCAGAAACCTTTTTAGCTAATTCATGGCTACGACGTAGTTTTCCGCCTTTTCCCTGCGAACCGCTCCCGAATGTCTCGTCTACTGCTACTCTAGCTGCAGCTGTCAAGACGCCCGATTGTCTGAGGCCACCACCAATAGATTTTCGAATCCATCGAGCGTGATGGATGAAAAGTTGATCCCCAACAAGGATGCTTCCCACGGGTGCTCCGAGACCCTTGGAGAAGCAAAGACTTACGCTGTCAAACAACTTGCAATATTCATCTAGCGACCCTGCGCCCGCTGCAACCACCTCCCATAGACGTGCACCATCGAGATGAGTCTTAATTCCATTTCTCCGAGCAAAAGAAGTGATTCGTCTTGTCTCCTCCAATGGCATAATAGTACCGTCAAGAGTGTTTTCCAGCGATATAACCCGCGTGGGTGTGCTGCAAATATCATCACCAAGCACGACTTTTTGTTGAATATCTTCCTGCGTGATAAATTTACCATTTGATGGTATTATACCTTTCACGAGTGCGCCACAAAGGCTCGCAACCCCACCAGCTTCCCACTCGATGATATGGCTGCGATGGTCGCATAGCACTGCATGAGGTGGCTGCTTAAGGTGAGTGCGTAGCGCAACCTGATTCGCCATTGTTCCAGAGGGAACAAAAAGCGCGGCTGGGTGAGAGGCTAGACTGGCTATGTGTAGCTCTAGGTCAATAGTGGTTGGATCAGCACGGAAGACATCGTCAAGTAAGGTAGTTTGAACGATGGATTTAAGCATCGAAATGGTAGGAGTAGTGCAAACATCACCTAGGACCGGTTAATTTTCATACAATAAACGTCGGTACTTACTCCGGAAATCAAATTGAGCTGTTCCAGGATGTAGCCAGGAATTCCCCGGATGAAGAATCGTTTTTTCACAAGGACCGGACTGAAACAACTCTGCCAATTTCTCGTCCGTACTTTTAAACCTTGCTTTTGAGAAGGTACCCACGGTAAGTTGCGTTCGTTTCTGAAGTCGTAGACCTTCCGCTGTGAAAAATCAACATGGGGGGGCACATATTTACGTGAAAGAACACCTCGTACACAATTTCGCCGCATGATTCACGAGCTTGCTTCTGGTCATTGTGAAATTTCTGCTAGAACTGAAAGAAATATGTTGTAGCCGATGGGATTTGTAACGTGATTTTGACTAGCCTGAATGCATCAGCAGTAAGTTCAATCGAGAAACAGAGGAGCTAGCATTAAGATTTAATTCAAGCCATAAATTGAAGCCTATTGCAGCAAGGTAAGTGTGCAAGCATATCACAGTAATCACCAACCAAATAAATCTGAGCGTCTTCCGCATGATTACGAGAGGCGACGTGAGGTTGCTCCCAGAGTTATCGACGCTACTCCTCACGCACAGACATTTCGACATCATGGATCAGACTTGGATGCAAAGTATCGTAGGAATTTGATGTTCACTACTTTTTGGAGGCCTTATGTCGTGGTACATGCGCAGGCCTTACGGATAGCCCCATTGATGCTAACTTTTAATCTTCGAGTGCAGGGTGATCAGATCCTGGCCTTCTATTGCCGTGTTGGGGCTATGTAGATGCCAACACTTGGGCTAGTTTTTTTGCAACAGATTTTAATGGCGTATGCAGCTATCTAGCTATGACACAATATCAAAGAAAAGTAAAGAAAAGATGACTCAATTACAAGAGGAGCAGTCATGCCTCGGATTTCATTTGCAAGTACCACTGCGAAGTTATGGCGGCTTTTTCTTCACCCCAAGTCAACCCTCATCCGTGAATACCCACCCAGGGGAACGTCTCAAAAACCCTGAGTTATCCAGACATGCCACCGTCATCCATCAACTTTTCTCCGCGCGAAATGTAATCTGAGATGTCTCCTTCTTAAGTGGAGTAGGTGCCCAGGCTACTCAGACTATACCGGAGAACACCACCAGGAGGCGGACCATAACACCTTCCATCGTTGGCTTGTGTTTATAGTGTCAGCTGCACTCTTGCAGACGATATCTTGACGTACACAAAATTCAATTCGACAAACTCCATGCCAAAATTCGGAATTTAATGCCCTTCGAGGTTATATCCTCCCTTTGCATCATCTTGTCGACTTGTCCTGATCCCTCTCACATCCATCCCAAAGAACTGTCTCCCAGATTTGTGCGCCACGCTTTCCTTGCTCCGTCGGGTATAAATATCGGCGTGGGCGTGTATTTGGTGACCGACTGAGGCCAGAGAAGGTCGAAGAGTGGTGTGGTCATTGGGATGAGGATGTACTTGGTCATACTTGTAGGCTTGATGAGACTTAGGTAGGAGTCAAACTCGTTGGGAGAGAAAAACGACGTGGAGGAGTAAGTTGAATTATTGCCTCGTGGGCCAACTTCTTCGATATTGCGAAATTTGACTGAACTTGGCTCTGGGAGAATATTTCACTCCCAGGTTCGTAGAGGACACCGCGTACAGGTGTTCAGTCTTGCCCCCCTAGACTCTGTGTCGCTAACACTTGTACTTATTGCGCAAACTTCGCACTCTCATAGCTGTGACCCAGACATGACATCCTTCTACTCAAATTCTTCTATCGTTCCATAAATATTGCGCCCATTTTATTGCGCGATACTTCCAACACTTTACATAGTCATAGACTCATTAGGACAACAAACACTCACACCTCTTGACTTAGGGCTCATTATTTTCTTAATATATATCAAAATAAAAATATATTCAGCACACCCTATAGAAACCTCGTAGCAAAACTTTAGTACCAATTTATATATCTCATATCCCTTTTGGAGCTCTTCAGTCTCCCATCCTATTCCTGACCTCATCTATCGCCAACTGAGTTGACCAATGCCCTGAAATCTCCCTTGTGACAAAAGGGGCCGACTAGATACAATCTACCATCACTGTATTAGGTTATTGGTATGTTCCAGAAACTCATCGAATAGATTCTCAATAATGATCAAGAAAATTGAGTGGATGACTAGTATTTCTTTAGCCCTAGCATCTGATCTGATCGTGGTAAGCTCCATGTTAATGGTGCTTGGGGGGTTATGCTGAGAGGTATGGACAAAGTTATTGCTTAATCTTGGCTCGGCACATTTTGCATAGAAAGATGGAGATTCATAGGAAATACTACTGTAAGTTGTTGAGTTTTAGTCCACCTGAAAGCAAGCTTTTGAGTGTCTCTAAAGTCAATAGTATTAGCCAATATATACACTGAGTACTAACCTTGTGTCATATTTGGTTAGCTGCAAACACGATAATTGATTCACAAAAAGGTACGTATTCAAGCTACGCAATATTAATTGGTGAGGGACTATTCTCAACAACTATCAGTGATGTCCCCTACGAACGTCCAGCTCTCACTGTAGTGTCTGCAGAGCCGAGATTGAGTAACAAAGTCCTCACTTCGACGAGGATTCCCAATCGCTTTCGCGGTCTGTATCGTCTTCATCTCTCAACACATTCCCCTATCACCATTATCATGAAGCTAACCACGATCACATCAGATGGTAGGGTCGGATCCCTACTCGTCACCCACCCTTGATCATGGAGGAAAAGCCATCCGATGAGTTTCCGGAGCGTACCCAGCACCCGATACGGAGATGGTGGATTGGATCAAGTCGACCTCGAATGTTACAAAGAAGGGAGATATAGATGAATATGCGCACCTCATGTGGTCCCGGTGTCTAGGCCTCGCCTGGCTGGGGCTTCAGGGCTTTTGAGACTATTTCCCGCGCACGCAGTTTCCATTGCTACCATTTTTAATATTTTATATTTTATATTTTTGGGTAGAAGGTTCCGTGGAAAAGGTGGCTGAATTCTACGGGTAAACACCAAGATGATTGGCTATTCATCACGGGCAACATATCAATGATCTTTCAAGAAACATGAGAAGCAAGGAGCACTGTACAAGTTGTGTCCTGGGTCAGAGAGGAGCCCAATGTGCTAGATAGTCATAGACTCAAGTGGTACAAACAGGGCTTGTCCCTCACTGTCCATGAAAGCAAAGCGTAGATTTAAACAGTTGGAACTTAAAACATGTAGCTAGTATCTTATTTGTAGATTCTAGGAATCCTCAATAGTCATTGACTCAGCTAGGACTATATTACAAATCTAATCCAATTCAATCTAATCTAATCTAATCAAGTAGTACAATAAACACACACACACACACACAATATTAATTGGTGGGCTAACCTCGATATCATACCACTGCACTATCTGACCAAATAGAAAGTATCAAAGCAACAGCTTAACCGAAATCCCACACCTAGCCTCTTCGGCAAAGTTGAATTTTAGGTGAAAGGTGGATCGGTGTAAGAGAGGAATTTTTTAATCATATCTCAAGGCATCACTTACCTAAATGTAACCAACGGGATAGGATTGATATATTTCCACTTTGAAGAGTACCTAATTGCAGACAAGATGGAAGTTGAAGAATTTAAACTTATCCCGTTGAGAACTACGCTAGAAATAATGGCTCAAGATAAGCTAGTGGAGGTTTGGGTTGTGATCGTTGAATCAAAAATGGCAAGCGGTACTTTGAGGTCAGTACGTGTTTGCTTGGCAATGGTCTACAATTCACGCCTCCGAACACCAATGCTTTCGACGTCTTATGACGACACTATACGGACATGAGGATAGTTCCTTGCTTCTTGGGCTTCGCACACAAAATTATGAAAACACAGGGCTTAATGCGCTGGTGGAACTTTCTTCTAATTACACTTGGCGATGAAACTGGGAAGTCTAAGCAGATCAAGTTGTTTACTAATTCCCGTGAAAGCTTAGTGCGCAGTCTTGTCCCAGATGACGGGGGAGTAGATTTTCAAAATTTAAAACGATTTGCAAAGTATGAAGAAGTCCCCAAGGTTGTGAAGGATATCATTGAAGAGACTACAAGCGCAGCCCAACACAAGAATAAATCTAGCCCAACTGTCGTATCTCCTGTCAATCATGTTCAGCGGCAAGGATGCTCAAGCTTTGTATCAAGTAATGCATATAAAATAGGGACTGAAAAGTGTAATCCTAATTCTCTACCGGACAAAACGACTCAACTTCTATTAATAGCCGGTCCTGTGCACGCAATCTCACAAGATACCCTTGAGTTAGCTTTGTTAAAACAGACTCCAAACCTTTTACCCATTATATTCAAAACATCAATACCTCTCAATGCTCCTACGTCAATTGCCCAGGCGGAGCACTTGACTCAGACCTACTGGCCGACCGTATACAAAAGGAATAACCCATATGGCCCCCACCCCAGTATCATATCATCTGCGCAGCTAGAAGTGGGAAAAGAAGTGAAAAAATGGATGAATCTTGCACAAGATATGGCAAAAGAAGCTAGGGTAGGAAAAAAAGGATCAAAAAGAGGAGAGGAAATTGGTGTTGTAATTGTCGAGAGAAAGGATAGTTTGGGTCGATGTATTGCCGTAGCAGGAGATGCGAGATGGGTCGGTTGGCCCGAGGATAGACCAAGAAAAGGGAATCCAGCCGCACATGCAGTGATGAGAGCCATTTCAATGGTTGCCTCTAAAGTTCAAGAGAGAAGCAAAGGTATAGAATTGCTTAAAACTGACGTGTCAAATTCTGCTCTAGACAATTCTTCTACGCAATTTGCTTCTAGTGAGAAGGGCCCTGAGGAAACCTTTCAGCCGTTGAAAGACACTCACATCATAAATGATGATGGTTTATGTTCCAGGCCAAACTTTACCTCAACCGAGCCGTCTCGATCTTCACAAATTCAAAATGCCGAATCAAGCACCAAGTGTAATGATTCATTGGTATCTGAACTTTCTATTTTTTATGATCATCCTCTTTCAGAAACTGAGGCTAAATATCTTGATCCTTCAGGGACCCAAAATGCATATCTATGTCATGATTTAGAGATATATTGTACACATGAGCCATGTGTCATGTGTTCCATGGCAATCGTACACTCCAGATTTGGGCGCGTCATTTTCGGTAAAAAAATGCCCCATAACGGGGGACTAGCTGCAGACGGAGATCTTAAGCACGGGCTCTTCTGGAGAAAGGAGCTAAACTGGACATTGCTCGCCTGGCAATATGAGACGCATCATGTGGAAGGGAGTGAGATAGTGGACAATGCCTTGGAGGCTTGAAATACAAGTGTTTCATGGCTATTGTTTTTGGTTTCCAACCTATTCATCTAGTAAGCTAATGTTGAAGAGCGAGCGAAACGGATGTTTACTGCGCTTTACACGTCATACTGCAATATTCACAATTGATACCATGAAGAAATAGATAATAATATTCGGAAACAAATCAAACAGAATTTTATCGAACGCGAACGTAGAAAATCATCCTCCACCGTATCATCCTACAACACTCCCATAGAACAATGAGTGTCTTTTTGGTCAAATATAATTATCTAAAAAATTTTAAGATACAAAAAGAGATGAAAGTGCTGAAATTCTATTTATTTGTTGCAAAGTAAAACATCATTTTTGGCAGAAAGCTTCGTACCGTTTTACGCTGCTCCTACCATCAATTGGTCTTGTTTGAATCATTTTTACAACTTATTTAACCCAACCACATCTTCAAACTCTCCGCGCGACACCATAGCGGGTGTGTAAGCTGGCGTGGGAAAATCCTGCGGTCTCAACGCGTCGCGAAAAGCGACAGCAACAACAGCCAACATATCTGAAGGCAGCGGAAAGCAGACAGTTTCAAATGATAGCAATATTGGACTTTAAGGGAATCTATCAGTAGTGGTTAGACTTATTGTGATGGACAAATTGGAAGAGGATTTTCCTATAACGGAGGAAGTCAACGAAGCCGTCGAGGCATTCCATTGTCACAAGAGAGTCTAGACAGCGATACCACATTGTTAACATTTCTATCTTGATATCGACCCGTAAAAACATACCGTATATTAGTACCTCATATTGATACTCAGGATTGCGATGGATAGCAGAGATTGATGATGTTTATGGCAGTACGGGGTTTGGCAATTGTGGACAGGGATAAGACACGTGTATATATATATATATATATTTAGTTTTAAGTCCTAGGCCGTAGCCTTCAATCTATTTAAATGTAGGACCGATGGAGCCGGCCGAGATTTAACCTTTAGGCTTAACCTACTTATTCACACCCATTTTAGAGCTAATAAATCATGAGCTCTTTAAACAATTAAAGTAGTGAAGAAAAAGAAAAGGAATAAACAAAAGAAATGATCAATGTTTATGAGTCAGCATTCCTCGTCCTGAGCTCTCCTCCGCCAGCGTATTTGCCCTGGCATTTGTCCTAAAAACCGTCCTTGCATTCAGCCCAGAATTAGGATGCGTCCAGTCTACCGAAGCAGCCTGTAACCCATGCAAACGTGTATATATATATTGCGCACTTGACTCTTCTTTAATATGATAGCGTTTCCGACTACATTCACAATGCCCATACCTGCTCTAGGCTAATCACCCCTTTCCATATTGGTCTTATCTTCTAACCAATGTCTATTCGCCCTTTTATCTTAAATGACGAGTCATGATATTCTTCGTCTTGCTGACCATCATCAAGCTCAGAGTTATGGACAGATTAAATCTTTAACACCCAGCACAAGTCTCCAATAGAGGAGAGGAAGATGGTGGAATTGAAGGAGTTCGTCAAGAACAGTCTCATGGACCCCTCTTAGAAAGCTGCTCTTGCATTGGCATAGGGCGCGCCGGCACTATGGACCTGCAGAACGGTCGTACTTCTGCAAGTGACAAAGACAGCGGTACGTATAGGAATAAATGAGGCAATAGTCCTGCAGCCAGAGGAGTTACTTTTAAAGGCTAAAAAGCACATCCAAGCTACATGCTCGATTCGCCAGATGTAAAGTGACGACACTGAGGTGTTTGTCTAGTCGGCGTCCTAGGTGACGCAGCGCCTAACATCCATCAACCAGCCGACTTAAAAAATTGACATTATGATTTTCCCATCGAGGCTTTCAGAGTCCCATCGGGGACAAAAATTGAGAGGAAAGAGATGTTAACAACCCTTGCATCATGCCGGCAAAGACGAATTCTTCACCTTCCAGTGGTGCCGGTGTAATGGCTCAGTATGCTCTACATATCTGGGATAGCCAAGAAGAATCGCATCCTTCGCAAAGGCGGCTTGCTGAGCGTGGCCCAGTCGATTTTGATTGACGCATGGGCTAGGTTCCGTTCCCGGCACGATAGATCAAAAGTTCAAGTTTGGGTCTCTTCTATTCAGTCTTCTAACAACTTCCCGATTGAGTTTGACTGGGAGGACTTTACGACTCACCAACAACCATCCAAAATCAAAGGTAAAATACCTTTCGCTTTCAACCTTACTAACATTGTGTGCAGGACTGGGCAATTGCTCGGCCTCATTTTAGACAAGCACCTCGACCGCGACATCAAAATTATCAACTTTTCGACACATTCTAAAGACGGCGCGAACGAAGAAGCCTCACTCAGACAACGAACGACGTACGACAAAAGCTGGGGCACCGATGCCTCGGTTTTGAGCTCTCGATTTCGGAATTTCAGCCCTCTGAAATGGGGGTTGAGCGCAATGCAGGGCAGAATTTGGGAAGAACGATATGTGATTTTCAACAGGCTGTTGGCACAGTTGGTCAGGGGCTAGATGTGCTTTCTAGAAGTGGTAGGTTGGATTCCTACACGGCCTGTTTAAGGAGGGACCACGGCTGCTCGTCGTGAGAGAGTACAGGAGGAATTATTGAGGTTTTCCCACGAAGGTTTTCCCTCAATACATGGTCTTAGGATCATGGTGAATGCGTTCCTACCTATTCGACCCGATGTAACAAGCGTGAGGCACGTATTTGGAAAAGTCAGGCACCGGATGGGCTTTGCTGGAGAATGGAGGAACTTGTGTTCTAGATGTCCTCCATGCGTGTCATGTCTATTGGATGGAGGGTGTAAGCCTGGCACGATAAATTACACTAAACTAAAACTTGCATCATGAAGGAGATTTTAGCGGCCACCAGGGCCCGTATTTACGGACTTATGATTACTCGAATTAGATAGTTACATAACGGAAATGAAGTCCAATGGTCGAAGAAAAATGGCCGCAACAGAGATCAATCGTGGCCAGCCTCTGTTTGGATTAGGTTCTAGTCAGCAATTCCTAATTTAAATGTGTTAGATTTTAAGCCTCTGTCCTTGGGATTCATTATTAGATCACTTGTAATGGACTTAATAGCGTTAATGGTTTGCGGTAATAATCGTCTGATTGTCTATTCTGTTCCCTGTTTTCTACGTTTTTTTTTTTTTTTTTAATACATTCGGTCCTAAGCTAAAGTTATGTTTTCCACATTGATTCAAGGACCGGCGGATCCGGCAGAGTTCCCTGTAACTTTTCCTACAGCCTAACTCGTTCCAACCTCGTGAATTGCTACCAACAGTGCAGCTGATTGAACAAGAACGAAAAATCACAAAAATTAAAACAACTCCAAATACCAGAAGATTCCTCCATCTTGGACCCAGTAAATGCGCTCCTCACACATTCCCTCGTCTGTCACACCTTCCAAATGACAAATTTATTCAATCTCCGCTTAAAGCAAGAGATGAGTTAGCAGGCACCTTTGATCCAGCCGGTATCCTGCTATTGGTTAGTAGATGCCCCGAAAGGGGACATCGTCGAGGTTGCTGTGTCCTCAAACTTCTTCTTCAGATCCCAGAGCTCCGAGACCTATTGCCTCGGCCATCGAGACATCCTTCGCCGCAGCGATGATCGCCTCTTCGGCCATTTTTGCAGCAGCCCTGGCTCGTGCCACCTTCGCGAACTCCACTTGTTCTATGTGGCGAATCCACGCGAGCTGCTCTTTCCTCACCGGTCCGGATTTTTTGGTCTGACTTGGCAGGCCCGAGAATCCGATCGGTGAGGTCCCCCACAGTTGCGACAGCGTGTGAGGGCCTTGCACTCTGTTTCGGAGTGCATATTTGATCCGCAGTTCCAGCAAGCCGGAGCGCGGGAGCAACCATGGGTGGCGTGGAAGCCCAAACAGCGTTTGCACTGTTCAATTGATCGACGAGACTTATGGATGGTAGCCATACCCGAATCGTCGAAAAGGCGGAAGCCCGCACCAGGGGCTTCGTCCCGGTGAAAAAGGGCATGCCAGTTTCGATAAGGCGATCCAGGCCGACATGTCCCATGAGGTCGGACCTGGATTGGACACGCGCTGGTCGTAAGGAAGATCTCAGCGGTGACACTTGCAGCATCGGTCGCTACGGGGCCGTACTGTGAAATGATACTTACAGGTGTTACGGGTCCACAACTAATGTCGATCCCTCGCATATTAGCACGCACTTGGCATATGTGTAGAACGTGTTTTCCCTCTGTATTTACCTCTCATTCTTCATAGAGAATCTGAATAGACTACTTTCCCTCGTTTGATTGACTAAATCACGACCTGTTTCGTGACATATTCAGATTCTCTCATTCTTACTACGTGTTGCGCGACGTCTCGCTTAAGCAGCACGCATCATCTGTTCAACCCCTGACAGCCGTCATATTTCAATAGTCCAATCTGACTATACCAGCTTGGAAGAGTTCTAACGCCAAGCATATCAGCTCATAGATACCGAATGGGCACTCCAGAAATTAAAGAAAAATTCAAACAAACTTTCGAGCAACCACCGTCCAGCCACCTTCCGATAAAAATGTTCGACAAATGGCCAAAGTGGTCCGGCAACGCATCCGATTTTGCCACGTTCCTGATAAGCCTCGAAGGGATTGCAGAAGACGACAATATCAGGAAGTCCCTAGGCAACGAGAAGGCTTTCTGTTACGGGGTCTATACCCACTCCTTACCTCCCGACGCTCAGAAAAGGGTTGCCCCATGGATGATTGAGAAAAAGAAATCCAAAGAGTGGAATATCCTGGAATTTTTGGCTAACCTGGAGGACCTCTTCACTGATAAAGACGCGCCGTCCAAAGCGCAGACTGCTCTGCACTCCATCAAACAAGGACCACGTCAACTTTTCGCTAGATTTAGGAGTGTATTCGAACAGCACTGCTCCGAGGCTGGAATACTCGCTCCTAAGGATGCGTCCAAGGTCAACGCGATGAAAGAGGGGCTAGCGCCGCATTTACGTAAAGGCCTTGCCTATAGATCCGGCATATCTAACACGGACTA